GGAAAACAAATATTTTTATCGCGCAATAAAAATAACATTTAAAGAGACAAAATGTAACAAAAACACTCAATTGGGATGAATAATCCATCAGAATTTTGCTAGCGGAGCAATGTGCACAGCAAAAATAACATTTTGAGGAAGGACATTCACTTCTTTTAAATTTTCAGGGGGTAAAATGCTAACAATTGAAATTTCTAGGGGATGACATGCAATTTGCCCTAAATAGTATAAACGTGTTAGTTAGTATGAAGCAAATGATACTCCATAGTCGATAAGTTTCGCAACAAATATGGAATAGTGATCTTAAATCCGTGTTCGATTTTCCCTACCGACAATTTCTTTGATCAGCGGAAGAAATTAATTCGTCTTTTTCCTCAAAATAAAATTATTCAAATGGAAATTGTTAGCTATTATCAGTCAATCCATCACACCGCCCTTGTTCCCAAATTATATATGATTATCTTCTCTATTGAATTGCGGTGTCAGCTGAATTTCAAGTGAATTAATGGTCGGAGATTAAAAACACAGCCCAAAGAGAATATAAATTAGGGCTCAAATTGGGGAATCCAAACAGAGTGGAAGATTCTCCTTCAGATTCGTCCACATACTTAATGGTTTAAGCTTTTCCTTCAATATTGCCCCCTTTTTCCGGTTCATTAATTCTGTTTGTTTCTGCGAATTTCGATTTGCTTGTCTGATATAGAATTCTATGTGTGTGTGTGTGTGTGTGTGTGTGTGTGTGTGTGTGTGTCACTTTTTGATATGTATTCATTGTTTGGTGTGGTGTGTTAGGTGTTTGTCATCACCTAAAATTTGGATTTATTTAAATTAAATGCTCACAATATTGGTTACCTCTGTTCTTAAGCATGTAAGGGTTTCTACATAAGGACAGAGAAATCAATAACATATTTTATTAGTTGATATACGTGCCCGAATCTCAAACGGTAGTTTCGTTTCGAAACGAAGCGAGTGGTTTGCCTAATATGCCGAATTAGTTCGAATATTTATTCGACTGAGAAATTTGGAGAGAGAAAAAAAAATCGTTCGATCGTTCTCATTTTCACGAGTAAATTATATTTGAATCAAATATATGTTATATGTTGTGTTTGCAGATATGATTGCACAAATAGCAGTTGGAGCAATCGTGTGCTTTATGGGATATGCTTATGTGACGATAAGGCCTCCCCCTCCGAAAACGTGCGGCTCACCTGGCGGTCCTCCGTTGACTTCACCGAGAGTCAAACTCGACGACGGGAGGCATTTGGCCTACAAAGAGAAGGGTGTTGCTAAGGAAGAAGCCAAGCACAAGATTATTGTTTGTCACGGCTTTGACGACTCTAAAGATTTCAACCTCCCGATTTCTCAAGTGAGCAAATTATTCGATCACGCTTAAAAAAATTGTTAACTGCCGTTGAAGATTCTGTAATTGTGTACGACGAATTCATTTGGTATAAAATCTAGTGAAGATTGATGGATTGTTCTTGGAAATGATTGCATTGGATCAAATTTTATCGAAGGAGTGATGGAAGAT